ACAGGCTGTTCATCTTTTAGCCCCACCCTCTGCTTTATTCTTCAGAGTACACCAGCTGCTTAACTAAAATTAAAATACAGCTCATGTTCGCTCTCAACAGAAGCCCATCTGCACACTGCACTAATCATCTGATTCCATAAAGTCCATTTGACTGTTTACTTAACAAGCAAGATTTTTTTTTATTGAAAGTTTTATAAATTTTACAAAAAGACAAAAACAATACAAAACAAAAGACAACATATACAAAAAAGAAACTAAACATTACATATATATATATAAAAAAAAAACCCCATCCCCCACCCCTCACAAAAACCCTCCCTTCCCCCCCCTGAGCTTCCCAGAGCAGAATATAGGCTTAATTAAAAATTAAGAAATAAAAATAAAAAATTAAATTAAAAAATTTATATTTATATATATATATAAAAAAATATCTATATATATATATAAAAATAAAACTTATAAAAAAGCTATGTGATAATTTTCTAAACCAAATCTAAATTGTATAAATTTTATCCATTTGTCCCAAACAGCAAGGAACTTCTCTTGCGTTTGTTGCTTTAAGAAAGCCGAAATCTTTGCCATTTCCGCCAGATAAGCTACTTTAAGAAACCATTCCTGCAATGTAGGCAAAGATTCCTTCTTCCAATATTGTCCTACTAACAGCCTAGCGGCTGTAATCAAATTTAACATCAATACAACCTCCTTTGTATCACAATCTGTAACAATGCCTAACAAAAATAATTGCGGAGTAAATTTTACCCTCCTTCTAAAAATTCTCTGGATATTCCACCATATTTTGATCCAAAATGCTTTTATCTCTCTGCATGACCACCAAATATGATAATAGGAAGCATCCTTATAACCACATCTCCAACATTTGGGTTGCACGTCAGGGTACATAAGAGACATTTTTTGTGGATCAAGGTGCCATCTATAAAACATTTTATAAAAATTCTCCCTAAGGTTCTGTGCTTGTGTAAATTTGACATTTCTCACCCAAATGGTTTCCCAAATGTCCAATGAGACTGGGACACCAAAATTCTGCGCCCATCTAATCATACAATCTTTAATTAATTCCGTTTCTGAGTCCATTTCAACTAATACCCCATAAATTCTCTTGATATGGGTTTGTCTTTGATCCTTAACTTGCTTAATAAGATTTCCATCTTCTCTAAGAAAACCCAATTTACAATCCACCTTCCATTTATCTACTAGTTGCCTATATTGAAACCAGGAATAAATAATATTTTCTTGCGCTAAATCTTCCCGTATTCTTAACTGCCAGTTTTGCCCTTCCCATCTAAGTAACTGACTATAAGACACCATGTCCATTTTTACTCCTCTTTTTATTCCTTCTATCGCATGCCAAGATATAGCCCATAATGGAACTTTAAAATCACTTTTATAATATTTTCTCCAAATCCTAAGTAAAGAAATTCTTAAAATATGAGATTTAAAGACCCAGTCCATTTTTTTATTAAATATTAAATAGGCATGCCACCCAACAAGCAAGATTTTAAGACATTCACTACTGAAATGAAGTTTCCATCTATTCTTATTATTAACTGCGGATAATCAAAACAACTAGCAACTTTCTACTAGAATCACAATAAGTTGTTCCACAGAGCAAAAGGAAGCTGCGCTAAAAAAATAGTATTATAACAATTATGAGGAAAGTATAGCACAAAGTTCACTATTCAATAAAATTTAGATAGTTACAGATCATTATATTAGTTCACCTGGAAATCATTATTTGGGCTTTCTCAAAAGAAAGATAAAGTCTTAAAGTAAAGAGGACTCCTGGGACTTTCTGGACATATCCATGTAATTTTCTACACAATAGTATAGAAGTATCATTTGCCGCTGTCTTTTTTGGGTTTTCCTCCCCAATTTTCTAGTTTAGTCCAGAGCCCTGGGAGTTGCCAGTTATCTGCCAGTCAGCCTAAACAGGTCCTATTTGTATTAATTTTTCAATTTATTAGATGTTTATTAGATGTCTACTTCACTAGATTTGGCTTTTATTACTAAATCTGAGGTTACAAATCCATCCCAAAAGTGATGAAAAGAGAAGTCACCAGGAAGTCAAAAGCATCCTATTCCTAAAAAGCCACAGGTTATGGAAGTAAAGACTTCCAAGTTGCTAGTTCTCTGCCTCACCAGAAATTCAACTTTTGGGTTTAAAGTCACCTTACTGGCCATACCAATGAAAGCTATTCTTGGTTTCGGGAGCCTTTCATAGTGGCCATGTACAAACAGTCTGTCATACAGAAACAAATATATTATATCTCTTGGATCTCTGGTGCATAGTGCAGTGACTTATGATAAAGTGTTTTATCAAACTTATCTGTACCTAACTTTGTCCCATTCTCTATATATTTTATTCACAGTAGATGCTAGACCTAAGCCAAACTTAACTCATCCTGTTTCTGTTAAAAAATAAATACAGATTAGGAGCTGAGCTTGTGTTCAGGAAAAGAGAGAAAGACGAATTTATGATACTATATAACTTTTAAATATTCAAATGAAATAGGGGAGACTAAATACAAAAAGTCTGATGCCTACAATTCATTTTCTTAAAATGTAAGCAAAATAATCATGAAGTCATTCGTACACAATCAAATCAGGTCAGTTCTTCAAGGCTTGCGTAAAGAATAGAAGGGCTGGGGCTATATGAACATCATAATTATTCCAGAGGGCGGGCACCATGAGAGACAAGGCAATTTCCTAGGGACAGATAATATTGCTTTAAAGATGAGATCTGGAGCATGCTCACTCAGTTGATGCTACTAGTTGGGCAGAAGCAATGGGATAAAGGCAGTCCCTTAGGTAATTGGGATTCATTCATTCATTCAGGTAGCTACCCATCTCAATCATAAAACTAATCAAAACATGATACAAAAAGAAATTAAATACAAACAGCAGCCAAGAGACATTACAATCCACTGATGTCAGCATAACCAGGAAATGGGGCTCTCCATACATTCAGGACCCCAGCCCCGGACACATAGCCAGATCAAGGCCTTCTCAAAAACTAGTGGGGTTGGGGCAATCTTAATCTCAGGAGTTAATATGTTCCAGAGAGCAGGTGCTATGGCAGAAAAAGCACGCCTCTTGGTCTTCACCAGCTGATATTCTTTCACTGACAGGGCCCAGAATATGCCTATCTTGCCATACCCGATGGATCAGTAAAAACAATTGGAATATGGCTCTTCAGGTAATCCATGAAACGGCTCTAAAAGTAACAACCAGGATCTTGACTATACATAGAAGCTTACTGGCAACTAGAGCAGCTCACCTAGCTTGATTATACTGAGGCTTGCCTCAAACTTTTCATGTCACCACATTCTGGGCCAACTGCAGTTTCTGAGAGATCTTCAAAGGTAGACCTTTATAGAGTCCACTAGCATAGTCATGAGTAATTGTGTGAAGGAACTACCAGCCCAGGAAAGATCTTAGTTGACACCAAATAATCTAACTAGAGACCTTCCTGGCCATAATTGCCACCTACTTTATGAATCAAAGAGAACTTCCAACTTACACACTAGTTCTGTCTGGTGAAATATAATCCCATTCAGAATTAAAGGTGGAAAAAGTATGCTATCAGAAGAACTGAAAACTGATAGCCACTCAATCTTGTCAAGGTTGAGTTTAAGCTTGTTCCTCCCAATCCAGACTAAACTACCTCTAGGTATTGTGACAAGATCTCTGTGACATCAAATGGTTGTCCTGGAGTTGAGAGGTATAACTGGGTATTGTCCTGGACCTGCAGCTCCTGCTGGAGCAGCACATGGAAGCAGTGGCAGGAGATCATTTGGTGAGTCTGGGTAGATTTACTAGTCGCACCTAGATCAAAGATATTGAAGATGGTAACTTTTGCCTTTGTCATTTCTCAGATTAGTGCAATTTGCTGTAGGTGGCAATGCCACTCAAGTAAATATAGAAACTGTATCTGGCATAGAGCAGAGCTGCTTGCCTACTGACCAGCTCAAACTGGTTCATCAGAATAATACATCTTATTTCAGATCTGTATTGGCTGACTGATTTATCCATTAATTTGTGCCAACCTAGCAGTTCGAAAGTATGCAAATGCGGATAGATAAATAGGTACCACTTCCATAGGAAGATAACAGCATTCCATGTGCCTCGCCATATAGTTATGCTGGCCACATGACCACGGAAGTGACTTCAGACAAAGCTAGCTCCCTTCACTAAGAAACAGAAATGAGCACTGGTCCTCCTTAACTATCTTCCTCAAGTAACAAGGCCACAATCTGGCTAGGACAGGATGCTGCAGGTACCATCCTTGGAGACATTAGGGCTTGGGGATCTAGAAAATGGCATTTGCAGTAGCAGCCCCCTCAATTTAGAGCACCTTATCCCTTGAGGTCATATTAGTCTCCAGCACTTTATGTTTCAGGAAACAAATATAAAACATTATCTTCCACAAGGCTTTTAGAGAGTGTTATTTAATGGAGGACAGCAGTAGATTTTTTTAATATTGGAATGATTATAATACAGATTCTATGTAACGATTGTTAAGCTGCCTAGAGTAGCTTCAATAGGCAGCATACAAATAACTGTAATCAATTAAAGTCAATATAATTATTCTTCAGGAATGTATTTAATAATGTTCCCATACTGTTACATTAAAATTACAAGCTGTTAACAAATGTGGGGTCATATCCAAGATTTTTAGGGCCATCCTGGGGGTTCAACTACCTAGAATCCTCACTTGGAAGTTGTTCTGAGCATTCTGGGAAACAATAGTGATGCTTGTGTAGTAAACCAAGTAATAAACAATATTTGCAAGGACTTTATTAAAGAAAACAGCTAAATGAACCAAGTGCTGTATAACTTCCACACTTCGGTACTACTGCCACCAAATTATACCTGTTTTCTGTATTTTCCATTTCTGCTTTGAACAAGGATAGACGTTATGCAAGGAAAGTTTTCAACTATTTCTACTAATTCAAGAGTGTTTATCAAAGCATAACACTTACTTAATTGAGTTTCGAAAGTGGTCTTCAGCAGGGCTTTTTACTGTACAACTGTTCAATAGCCAGAGGTCTGCTTCGGCTGCATTTTCTGAAATATAAATACACATTATGTATTCAAAATTTATTCTGTATGACATCACACAAAAGAGAATGTGATTCAACGCTTTAATCGAAGGAGGGAAGTTTGCATAAGAATATGATTATGTGGCAATACTGGAGTATTAAAAATATGATTTAAAAAAACCATATAAGCTGCTTAAAATGATAATTTGAGCATTGGTCTGAATCAGCAACCATGCTTCTGCAATAGTTCACGTACATAAATCGGATCATATAAAGATTATTGTCTTTTTCACCAAGCTGCGGTCCTTCGTTTACCCTTGATATAGTGCAGGCAACATGGATTGATCTTTTCTATTGAGAGCTAACGTAGGGCTCTCAATAGAAAACCTTGGCAACTTTAAGACCTGTGGACTTCAATTGCTGGCTGGGGAATTCTGGGAGTTGAAGTCCACAGGTCTTAAAGCTGCCAAGGTTGGGCACCCCTGACGTAGGTTTTTTCTGTTTTGTGCATCCAAATAACCTGAGCTTATCTTAGTTCCTGGTAACTGCATCACCCATGCAGGTTCTACACAAGTGGTTTGCCATTATCATCTTCCAGGATTTCTCAGTCTAGCCAAGCTTGGAATTCCCAGAAGGCGCAAGTATTAACCAGGCCCAATCCTGCTTTGTTTCCAAAATTCATCAAGAGCAGCCAGGTGCTGCGATCTGCTCAGGCTTTCCTACCTAAGTATTTACTTAACATATAGCGGCAGCAAAGAGTATATGACAACACGACTCAGTAACCTGCTTTCATGGTTAGATTGCTCACATGCTTCCATAGCCTTTTTTGCTCTCTCTGCAGCAGTGATACCAAAGCGTAGGTGGTAAGGATGCATCCCTTTGGGATTAACTTTCCAGAGCTGCATGCCAACATGAATGGGGACCAAAATCACATACATTTCTCATTCTTAACTAATGAAAGCATTTTTCTGAGCCTACCTGGGAACAATCAAGACGGAGAAGCCATATCCCAGTTGGGCACATCAAGTTTCAGCTTTATTTACCAGGTATTTAAAATGTTTAGCTCATTTTTGGCAGTTGTTTTTAAAACAAAGATGTGCCCTGTCCTTAGCTGTCAGTCAAAGCAAGGGAAAACATGCAAAAAAAATACATTGTTGACAACAGTTTTTAAACCATTATTTACAAACAAAAATGTGGGGCTTTGCTCTAATGGCATATATTGCTATAATGCAAATATTGAAAAACAGTCACATGCAAACCTTTAAATTTTTCAGAACAATTTAACACTAATCAATACTGATGGCAGATTTATTACAAATGAAATGAAGGTGAGCAAATACATATTAGCATCAAGCCATCACATTAATGTGAAAAAAAATGCTGCCTATTCAAGATATATTCTGATCAGTATACAGCCTCCAGTATGCAGCCTTCCACAGGCTGGACTTTCAAGATGTTTGGGGAATGCAAACCCTAAACCTCTAAGCAGCTCATCCAATAGATCATATAAAATTAGATTCTTTGCGTCATTGCACAGGTAGTCCTCAATTTATGGCCGATATTTGGACCAGAATTACCACTGCTAAGCAAATTGGTTGTTAAGTGAATCACATCCAATGTTAGGACTTGGTTGTTAAGTGAATCATTGCAGTTGCTAAACAAATCATGCAGTCTTAAGCAAATCCAGCTTCTTCCATTCACTTTGCTTGTCAGGAGTCAGCTGGGAAAGTTGCAAATGGCGATCACATCACCCTAGGATGCTGTGTGCTGGTTACCAACTGGCTGAATTTTGACTATATGACTTTGGAGATATTGCAACACTCATAAGTGCAAAGACCAGTCACAAGTTACATTTTCAGTGACACTGCAACTTTGAGCAGTCATTAAATTCCCTGTGTATCCAATCACACTTGGCCAATAAAGAATCCTATGATTCCAAATGAATGGTTGCAAGTTAAGGGCTACCTGTAAAAGATACCTTTTCAAGACTACTTATATTGTCCAGAAAACGGGCAAACTGCAACTAAAGATATATACTTCTCCCTGGGTTACTGATATGTGTGTCTAATTCCCTCTTCATAGGAAACATGCGTTGTTCTACAAAGTTTGCGTCTGCTTAGTGTGACTGTGTATTAAAATAAGCGAATGTAAATAATTATTCTCTTACCCTTCTGTGTGCCCTTTATTAATGCTCTGACAGTCAACAACATAAATAACAAACATTGCTCAGAGAAATAAAAAGAGAAGAGTTAAAATTCACGCTGTGGGTCTCATCAGCTGAACCAAACTGAAGAAAAGGCATGAATGTTGTTTTGCACTCTTTTTGAGCATGTTTTTACTACATAGATGGCAACAAGTTAGTTACAGACGTTTTGGAGATTATTATTATTTTTTTTTAAAAAAAGAAGCTTCCTATAACCAAATGTAACAATTTAAACCCCGTACTGTAATATTTCCATAATTCAAAAGCAGTTAGAAATTTGCATTAAAGAGAGCTAACAATGTTTATGACACGCAGAGTGCGTATCTGTAGGAATCGGATACTTTCAAAACAGTGACCATGCAGTAGAACAGACATGTCAAAACAAGGCCCGGGGGCTGGATGCAGCCCGCGAAGTGGTTTCATGTGGCCCACGAAGCCATCCTGAAAACAGTGAGGGAATGGCCCCCGCTGCCTTGGCTCTGGCCGAGGCCGGCCGGGAGTCAATGTATAATTTTGTGGTGGCCATCTATACTGAAACACATTCAGTCTTAACTCCACAAGGCTGTCTAGAAACAGCGAGGAACCAGCCCCTGCCATGTTGGCCCTACTCCCTGGGCGCATGCTGGGGAGGTGTCACCCTTTGTAAGGAATGAAGAAATGGATCATGCCTTGGCACTTGCCCCGGTCCCACCCCCTTCGCCAGAGACCCTCAGATCTGTCCCACTCCTGCCCAGGCCCCCACAGGCACCCTTGACACGAACGATGTAGAGCTGGCCACACCCACCCTGGCCACACCCACCCTGGCCCCCTGAGGGCAACCGCAATGCTGATGCGGCCCTCAATGAAATTAAGTTTGACACCCCTGCAGTAGAAGTACTTTATAAAGAACAGTGTTTTTACATGGGAAACAGCAAACATTTACAGCCCGGAATATACTTATTTATTTATAATCCATAGCCCAGCAGAGAATGTAATCTGTCAGGGTCTTGAAAGAAGATAGGGTCAGACTTTGTGTTTTAAAAGGTGGCTTTCGCCGTACTTTAACTGTAATTTTTAATGTTAACATGAATTAACTTTAATACGTTTAAGTGCTCCTTCTTTTATTGGAAAATAAAAACCAGCAGTAATCTGGAACCACTCCAGAAGCCACAAAAAGAAGGCCGGGTTGCACTCTAGGTTGCACAGCCCTGGTCAGTGTGGAATTCACATGTCTTGCAATTTAAAGATTAGAATGAGAAAGTTTAGTTGCTCATAAATACGCCTGAGAAATGCTTCAGCCCTAAATATATTGGCTACCACAAATAACAGCATTTCTGCAAGGTATACTGGAATACAAGCAACTGAGCAACATTACTAAATCAACACTGTTTAGACAGAGGAAAGCAGTGACTTTTATCTTTAGGCTCCCTTCTCCAAAACACAAATACTGCAGAAACCACAAGTTCCTTGAGGTTTCTTTAAGACACCAGCAACACCAAAGAAACTCAAAGGTCATGGAAACTTCTGAACAATCTAAACATAACATGAGGTTCTGGACAGCACTAATTGTCAGAATTATGCAATAAAAAACAGGAAAACTTGGTAAAACTCTGAGTAAGCAGTACAGATAGCCACAGAAAAAACCAAAATATTTACACGTTGGTTTTCTTGCTGGTGTTTCTGTTTATATCATTGCTCCTGAAAAGTTTTACATGTCACTCTGAATGCCCATAAATAGCAATCTTAACATCACTTGGGAAAGAGCAAGCAGTAAGTAAAAGCTAGATGTATTTGAGCTGATGAGAGCAAAACTGACAATATCTGAATGATACTAAAACTATTACAGAGTGACATTTAATGTACAGGCACACACACACACACACACACACACCAGAAACTAACTAACTATTTTGCTTCTATTCCATGTCACACCAATAAGCCCAACATACAGAAAGAAAGAAAGAAAGAAAGAAAGAAAGAAAGAAAGAAAGAAAGAAAGAAAGAAAGAAACCAATAGTATCACTTTGAAAGGAAGGATAACCAGAGAGTAAGAAAGTTTTGTATATTGCATAATTTTGAAGTGGTATATATGTGTGTACATACATACATACATACATACATACATACATTAATCTTAGTTTCTTCCAGAAGATCTGGATAATAACACCTATCAGCTCCAACCATTTTGACTAGGAGCATACAGCTGTAAAAATTGGATTTCACAATGTCTGTAGCACATCAGATTGTTTATTTCAAAAGGGATCCATTTACTGCTGGCTCAGAAGCTAGGAAACCATGTTAGAGTCAATAATTGAATCTAACCAATGTTTTTCAATATATCTTCTCAACTGTATTATGGAAAGAAATGTTATGTTTCAATCAGACTTTGTTTTAACAGTTGATGATTAACTCTAAGTCTAGGTGGCTACGTTGATTCAGAAGATAAGACTGGATTTTCTTGATTCATTCATTTTCTTGAATATACTAGATCAGGAATGGCTAACTTCCATGTTCTCAAATGTAGATTTTCCAAACAAAGGATGTGGTTCAAAGTAATCCACATTGAAATCCCTACTCAAGCACTGCATAATTTAGGCTATCACTTACTCTCAGCTCAAGCTATTCACAAGGAGGTTGTTATGGGAATAAATTTACGAAAGATGTCTCCCCAAGAAATATGCCGTCCCTTGATCTCTCAGACAAAAGCTGAAATGTACATGCAAAAAAGAAATAATATGCATTTTATCACATAAGCTAGTTCTCTTCAGAATTGTCTGGGCAGTAACAGAGATAATATGGTACACATTCCCTCTGGATCTCATACACTCTTAGGTAGCAAGGCT